GAACACGTGTGTGTTGTTTTAAGCCATTAAGTCTGTGGCATTTGCTGCAGCCACCATGGGAAACTATTACCCCTGCACAATGCCCAGGGAGGGAGGTGTCCCTTGGGCCACTCAGCCCCCTATGGCCGACCCAAAAGACTCTCTGGTCTCAGGGTGTCTGTCTACTCCAGAGGTCAGTATGGTGGCTCCCAACTGGGAGCAAATGCCTTGGTTTGATTAACTAGTAACGATTCCTGAAGACATGCCAGGTCAAAGGGGGCTGCAAAACCCACACAAGCTTGTCTCATGCTGACCCTTCCAACTGCCCCCAGACAAAGGCTATTGGCATGCCCCTGGTTGCTGCCTGATATAAGTTTCACATTTTCTCCTTTTTAAAAAAAAAATGCATCATGCCCACATATGAAGCATCCAGTGAAGGAGGCAGCACAGTGCAGGAAAAAAAAAAAAAGAAAGAAAAGCAAGCCCCATCCCAGACTCCTGGAAACCTGATGCTAATCCAGGAGCTACTGGCCCTCTCTAAGCCTCAGTTTCCCCATCTGTACAAGGGGTTGGGACTGAGTTGCCTCCAAGGACCTAGTTTGCTGGCAGCCTCATTCCCTAGTTCTAAATGCCGCCTTCCCTGTCACCAGCTTGCCTGACCTGGCGACCTACAGGGGTCAGGGATGATTGGGGCTGATGGAGAACCGCCACATCCGGAGCCCAAAGCGGCCATCTCCTGCCCTGGGGACCCGTCTGCTTGTTCTCTGCTGCCCCCTGCTGGCAACTTGAAAACAAAGCCTTCCGGCTGGATCTCAGGTAAAGAAGCCGCTACCCCTTTCATTCCTTCCATGCCATGGTTTTAATTGACCCTGTTTTTAATTCTTCTGGTAGTTTTCTCTGTTTCTAAGCAATGTTTAAATCGGTTTCTCCACCTGTCAATTTTACCCCAAGTCAGTGACAAATGAGGATTTGATGCTCTGATCCTTTCTCATCCCTGGTACATACCCCTCCTTGTCTCCCCATTTGTGATAGTTAGATTTGGGGGTCATCTCTTGGTTATTTTTGTAACTTTATGCAGGACACTTAGAACTCTCTAGAATCCCACTGACTTTAGTGGTCCTTGACACCCAGGCAGGGAGCAAGTGGCCTGGTCACTTCTGGTTCCATTGACCAGGATTGTGATGTCACTTTTTAAAATTTAAAATCAATTTTTGAAATCAAAGTCAGATATGCCCATGGTAAAAAAAAAAAAAAAAAAAAAAAAATCCAAAGGGCACAGAAGAGCTTATGAATAAAAGTGGATTTCTCCCCTACCCCTGGAAAGAGAGGCCCTGAAACCTATTGCAACTGCCCGCCCAGACCTGGCCAGCCACGCCCTTCCTTTAGGCTGGTTTTCACAGAGCAGAAGGAAACCCATGCAGCAGCCAGAGCCCTGGGTGGGAGGCTGTCTGCGTCTCTCCCCGTGTCTGCCGCCCACCTCCTCTGCACTAGGAAGATGGGGTATGGGATGTGGCAGTTTCTGAACAGTGGTTCTACTGGCCCAGCCTCTGCCTTTGGAGGGTCGTAACAATAGGACAAGGGTCCCTGGGCACCCTCTCTCCAGGGTATCTCCCACCACATGCTATGGGCTTCCTAATCCCGATCCCCTTTTTCCTGTTTTCAGACATCCAGAGGCATCATAAGGGGAGCTGTCCACACAGGATGAGCCAGACAGGACCAAGCCAGAAGGTCAGCTGCATCCGGGCCTCCGTCCTGCCAGGGAGCCCACAGGCCACATTCTCACCACCAGTGGCGGGGGGGCCTCGCTGCTCGTTGTCCCCAAGAGAAAGGGTAGCTGGTAGGACAGCTACATTCAGACAATGGACAGGGCAAGGGAGACTGGGAAGTCTGCGGGCCACAGTCCCTGACCCCCAAATAATGCCTCTTGCCAGGCCCCTCATCTGTTTCTGAGCCACACTCAACTCTGACTGCCCAGACAACATCCAGGCCTTTCCCCACAGGCAGTGCCACCAGGAGGCAGCAGTGGAGGTCCCTTGGCTCTCTGGCCCCAGCCTCCCTCCCTGTTCCACCTTCTGCAGCTCGAGGGACTCGCTATGGCCTCAGGAAACTCCTGCCTTGTTCCCTCTGCAGGCCATAACATCCCCTTCCTCTGACCTTTTCTGAAACCTCCTCTCTCACGTGGTTCCTTCTCACCATGTGGCCCACTGGACCACTGAGCCTAATCATCCAACAATTGAAACCCCTTTTCTCCAAGAGCAGGAAGGCTTACACATCAAACCTTCTAGTACTGCAAGAAAAAAGGAAGAAGAGGCCAGGCGTGGTGGCTCACGCCTGTAATCCCAATACTTGGGGAGGCCAATGTGGGCAGATCATCAGAGGTCAGGAGTTCGAGAGCAGCTGGCCAACATGGTGAAACCCCGTCTCTACTAAAAATACAAAAAGTCAGCCAGGCACGGTGGCGCACACCTGTAATCCCAGCTACTCAGGAGGCTGAGGCACGAGAATCGCTTGAACCTGGGAGGTGAAGGTTGCAGTGAGCTGAGATCATGCCACTACACTCCAGCCTGGGCAACAGAGTGAGACTCCATCTCAAAAAAAAAAATGAAAAAGAAAAAAGGAAGAGGAGAAGCAGAGAAGAAAAACATAAAACACTGCCATGTTAAAATATACATTATCACTCCAGATGCCAGAAATGCCCTCATTCTGGTGTCCCAGGGGTCAGGAAATTGGAACCACAGAGAAAGTAATGGAGTCGAAGCATTGCGCAGGGCCCGGCGGGGAAGCACGCCTACACGGCCACAGTCATGCAAATGCTGTTTATTGATTTTCAGATTGTAGAGTCAACCTATGGACAAAGCACAGAAGACTTAGTTTCGCTTATAGAACAGAAGGTAGATGTTAACAACAGGGATGATGCAGAAGTAAAGTACATCAGAACTTTAGGGATACAGTTAGCGCTGGGGGAACCGCTGCTGGGTGGAGACAAGCTTTGGGGCAGAAGAGAAGCCCAGGAAGGTCCTGGCAGTTGACTACGTGGCCCTGGGCCGGATACTCTGTTGCCCCCCTGCCCTACGCCGCATACCTGGGTGGTGCTAGAGGATGTCACTGGTGTGATAGCACCTCCTCGTACTCGTCCTTCTTTAGGGAGGACTAAGAGGAGGGAGAGAGTTGGAAGGGGAAGATCCCAACGCTGCCATGCTCATCAGACACAGAAGGAGGTCACCAGACTGAGGTAGGCGGTAGGGCTTGGACACCGTACTAACTTGAAGATGAGCTAAAACAGGGATGAGTGGAAGCAGCTTTTCCTAAGACACGCCCTCCAGGGTGCCACGTCAGTTTACCATTGCCATGGCAACACCCTGGCATACTGCCCTTTTCCGTGGCAAAGACCCCAGGATGCAGAAGTTACTACCCCTTCCCTAGAAAGTTTTGTATACGCCGCTCCTTAATCTACATGTAATTAAAAGTGGGTGTAAATCTGACTGCAGAACTGCCCTGAGCTGCTGCTGCTCCCTGCCTATGGGGTAGCCCTGCTCTGCAGGGCAGTCACAGAGTTGCAACACTGCAGCTTCAATACAGCTGTTTTGGTTTTGTTCCTTGGTTTGTTTTGTTTGTTGTTGTTGTTTCGTTATTGGTTTTTTTGTTTGTTTTTTCTAGATGAAGTTTTACTCTTGTTGCCCAGGCTGGAGTGCGGTGGCACAATCTCAGTTCACTGCAACCTCCGCCTCCCAGGTTCAAGCGATTCTGCTGCCTCAGCCTCCCAAGTAGCTGGGATTATAGACGCCTGCCACCACACCCAGCTAGTTTTTTTGTATTTTTAGTAGAGATGGGGTTTCACCATGTTGGCCAGGCTGGTCTGGAACTCCTGACCTCAGGTGATCCACCCACCTCGGCCTCCCAAAGTGCTGGGATTATAGGCGTGAGCCAGTGTGCCCGGCCACAGCTGTTTTCTTCTACCCTACCACTGGTGCTTGCCTTTGAAATCTTTCCTGGGGGAAGCCAAGAACCCTCTCAGGCTAAGCTCAAGTTTCGGGGCTTGCCCACCCTACATCAAGACCCACTAAAATCAGTGGGATTCTAGAGAGTTCTAAGTGTCCTGCATAAAGTTACAAAAATAACCAAGAGATGACCCCCAAATCTAACTATCACAAATGGGGAGACAGGGAGGGGTACCAGGGATGAGAAAGGATCAGAGCATCAAATCCTCATTTGTCATTGACATGGGGTAAAATCGACAGGTGGGGAAACTGATTTAAACAGATTACTTGGAAACAGAGAAAACCACCAGAAGAATTAAAAACAGGGTCAATTAAAACCATGGCATGGAAGGGATGGAAGGGGTAGGGGAGAAAACCACTTTATTCATGAGCTCTTCTGTGTGTTTTGGTTTTTTTTTTTTTTTTTTTTTTTTTTACCATGGGCGTGTCCGACTTTGATTTCAAAAATTAATTTTAAATTTTAAAAAGTGACACCACGATCCTGGTCAGTGGAACCAAAAGTGACCAGGCCACTTGCTCCCTGCCTAGGTGTCAGGCTGACTGTGGGTCTCAGGGGGGTCAGTGCTGCAGTGAGTGCCCTGGGGACAGGGGGAGCTCTGTGGGTGGCTCTGCAGGTGGCCCTGTGGACAGCTCCGCAGGTGGTGCTGTGGGGGGCTCTGCCGGTGGCTCTGCGGGAGGCTGCGTGGCTCCCTGGCTCAGCATGTTCCGGCAGCGCAGCCGCTCCTCCTCCTGCTTCTCCGCCATGCGGTTCTCCAGCAGCCTCAGCTCCCTGCGCACCGCCTTCTGCATGGATGGCTCCAGCTCCAGCACTTTCTGGAGGTCCGCCTTGGCCTCGGCCTCGTTCCACACCTCCGCGTGAGCCCGGGCACGCACATAGTAGGCCTTCACGATGCCTGTGAGGAGCAGGGAGCATCCAGCCGCAGCTCCCTGCCCAGCCTCAGAGGCAGCCTCCACCTAGCTGGGACTCACCAGCCTCCAAGACCCTTAGCCCCGCCACGATCCTTAACCTCTCTGTACCCCCGATCCCTCAGTTTCCTCAACTGTAAGATGGAGATGATGATCATAATGGCAGTACCTCCTTCTCTCCTTTTCAAGGCCCTGTGACTAATTTTATATTCATAACTTTGTTTTCTTTTTCTTACAGACACTCCCTAAATGAGATAACCTTCAGTCCCTTTCCCTGCACCTCCCCCACATGGTGATTATGAGGATTATTAGGATTAAATGAGATAATAAACACAGAAGACTTGAGCCCGATGCACACGCCAGGGCCTGGGTGGTGTTACCGTGAGCACTATTCGAGCGGTACGTCAATACTAGTAGTACTGGAGGTGCCATATCCTCGCAACACCTGTACTAGTACAGGCATAATATTTTTCTCTATACTGATTGCCCCTCTTTTTCAAAAGCCTGTTTACCGTTCCACTGAAAACACAAGCTTGCTGAGCTTCCTGGGTAAGTATTCAAACACACGTTAAAATAAAGGGCCCCCCACGCCAAGCACTGCCCATCCATCACCCACAATTCAATTACGCACTCGGGGAAACCCGGCTGGGTGGAGACAAGGTTCGGTGCCCCGGTGGGGTGGGAAGAAAAGTCCAGGAAGGCTATGGCAGGTGTCTCCGTGGCCCTGGGCCGGGCGCCCCCTCGCTGCCTGCCCCTGCAGCCCCACGCACCTGGGTGGTGCCGGAGAATGTCACTGGTGTGCTCCAGCACCTCGTAATACTCCTCCTTCTTCAGCAGGCACTGGCAGTAGTTGAGGGTCAGGGTGTTGATCATCTTCTCCAGCTTCAGCCACTGCACCTCCCACGGCTTCTCCTGCCCAGGGAGAAGGTCAGCCATGACCTCAGGCGGCTGCCCAACCCCCGCCCCACCCTGGCCGGCGCTGGGCAGGTCCCCCAGAGTCAGCCCCACTTCCCACCCTTGGCCAGCGGCCTCTGACCTTGGTCTGCAGGTTCCTTAGGCAGATGATGGCCTCCTGGTACTTGGAAGAGGCCTCCTCGTAGCGGCCCAGCTTGAAGAGCCGATTTCCCTCTCCGTGGAGGACGGGCACCACCTTCATCTTCTCATGATTGCTCAGGTTCCAGGTCTCCCTCTGGTAATCACTCGGGGCGTCAACCTGGCCCCAGAGCTGCAGGTCAGTGAGGCAGGGACCCCAGGGGCCTGCACCCCATCAGGGACCCGAAAGACTGGACCCTGGCACAGCTCCCTGAAGTCATGCTTGCTGGTCAAGTGCATACAGACAAGGGAAAGAAGCAAAAATGCCAAAAAACCCTGCCCTAAATCCATGCCTTTGTGCAAACTAGGAAAAGGTGCCCGTTCATCAAGACACTTCACTTCTAATATTCAGAAAATTGTCGTGAATACTCATTTTGTTAGAACAATACACTATTGCCATCTGCTGGAAACTTGTCATTATAGAAATACCGATGTACAATGTCTATAATGGGCACCTTGGAGGAGGTGCTGGTGCACCTCGTGCAGTGCACAGACCACGCAACTGTGACAGCAAGCCTGTAGAGGCCCTTGGTTGACACAGTTCTTATTTTATTTTTATTCACTCACATAGCTCTCAGGCTGAGCCTCAGTCTTGGCCATAAGCTGAATCCCGACCTGACCTTGACCCTGGCCCTAACCCTCTCTCACCAACCCGCAAACACACGCTGTCAATCACTCTGGGGCTCTGGGTGGGAGGATATGTGGAGTTCCATGCAGCCTCTCCTGCTTGGTTAGAGAACCAAGTCTGAACCCACAAACCACAGGAACCGAGGAGGTTATAATCCCCAACTCTTGAAAATGAAAGTGGAAGTAGATAACAAATAGAAGTAAAATGCCTCCAAAATGAAAACAAATCACATTTTAAAAAAGTGGTTCCAAGCGGACTTTTTTTTTTTTTTGAGATGGAGTCTCACTCTGTCACCCAGGTTGAAATGCACTGACATGATCTCAGCTCACTGCAACCTCCGCTTCCCAGGTTCAAGCCATTCTCATGCCTCAAATTCCCGAGTAGCTGGGATTACAGTCGTGTACCACCACACCCGGTTAATTTTTGTGTTTTCAGTAGAGACGGGGTTTTACCATGTTGGCCAGGCTGGTCTCGAACTCCTGACCTCAGGTGATCCAACCCCCTCGGCCTCCCAAAGTGCTGGGATTACAGGCGTGAGCCACCACGCCCAGCACCAATTGGACCTTTCTTGTGGAAAAATCAGAGGACTGTCGTTTCACATTCGTATTTGTCCCCTGGCTTATGAACCCTTTCTTGTTCTCTAAAGAGAAACAGGGCACTGTCCAGTGGCCAGTGGGGTGGGGGTACCTGTGATGCCCGCTGTCCCTCTCCAGTGCTGGCACAGCCCTCCAGCCCTGCCTACCCCGAGCCCCACCTGCAGCAGCTCGATCACAAAGATCAGAGGCTGAGGCTCCTTCTGCAGCTCGTCCAGGTCCTCGTAGCCCAGCGTGTGGTAGGCGAACATGTTGGCCAGCCCGCATGTGTGCACATGCCACTCCGTGGGGTCCTTGCCTTGGGCCATCTGCCGCAGGCTCCGGGACAGGATGGGGTAGACCCCCGTGTGCTGTGGGGAGAAACAGATGGATGGCATCTGGGCTACCTGCTCAGAGCTAGGTGGGCCACAAAAGGCCTCCACTCAGAACCCCTCCTGGCAGGAATCCTGCTCCCTCACTATGCTGCTAATACTAACTGTGGTTAACTGTGTGCCAGGCAAAGCACTTCACACTGTTATGAGCCTCTTCAATCCTTACGACAATTCAAAAGAAGCATCATTATCCCCATTTTACAGATGGGGAAACTACAGCCCAGAGAGGCAAAGCAACTTGCTTAAGGTCACACAGCTAGGAAATGACGCAGCCAGGATTCAAACCTGGCTCCAGAGGCCATATGCTCTCAGCCTCCGGCTGCCTCGTCTGGCCCTTGTGGTCCACTGTAACACATCTCTGCCCCAAGGAAACCCTGAGCTCGGCAAAGCCTATGACTCGCAGGAAGGGCAGTGTGAGGCAGTGGAAGGAGCAGGACTCCAGGGTCCAAGAGAGTCGCTTTGGTCTCCTGGCAGTGCTGCAGGCTAGCAGTGACCCCAGGTCTCTGCACTTCTCTGAACCCCAGTTCCCTAGGTTGCTCCTGTCCGGTATTAGGGCTGCTGTAGGGATTAAATGAGATGGTGCAGATATAGGTCTGGCTCATCACAGCTTCAGCCAGCACGGGAGCTGAGTTTGCCACCCTTGGGATGAAGGAGGGCTGGGAAAATCAGCCATGCAGCCTCAGCGAGGCCCGCTGTATGTATGCTGGGCCTCAGTTTCCCCGACTAGGCTCCCTGAGAACCCATCTCCTTGGACCGGCTTCTGAGACGATCCAGCACTGGCTCCACATGCAACATGTGACTTGAAGGGGCTAAAACTCTGTGCAGCAGTTCAGCTCTGCCTCCAGGCCACCAGCACAGAGGCAGAGGTCACCCCGCCCACCCCACCGGCCAGGATTAGCCTGAAATGCCTTCTGCCTCTTTGTGGAAGAGACGAGCAGATGGCTGTTGAGCCTGTTGGGATTAGAGCTGGACCAAGGGAGGGAGAGGCCCCAGAACCAGCTTGCTGCCAGGGGGGCCACCTCTGGCCCTGACTCAGCAGCCCCCAGCTTGGCACGCCATGGCCCCCAGCAAGCTGAGCATGCTTTTGTGGCCCCAAAGCACACTGCCCTCACTTACTTATGTTGTGGCACTGGCTGCTCTGCATTACAATTGTTTAGATGTCTGCTCCTCCTCCAGAATTCAAGTTCTCTAAGCGCTAGGGGCTTTGCTTATTTCATTCCTAACATACAGCACAGGCCAAATCAGGTGCCCAGTGAATGTTTTCTAACTAGATAGATAGATAGATAGATAGATAGATAGATAGATAGATAGATGGATGGATGAATGATAGGATGGATGAATGATAGGAGATAGATAGAACATGATGGATGCATGCAGTGATGGAAGCCTGAATTATGAATGAAGATTGGTCGAAGGGAAAAATGGATGAATTGATGCCTGGGCAGGTGGGTGGATGGATAAGAGGTGGATGTGCAGGTGAAGAACTAACTCTAGAAGGGGTGTGTGTGTGTGTGTGCATGTGCACACAATCACGACAGCCATGGGCTGGGGTGAGGAGATGTGGGGGGCATGGAGATTGGGAAAACCCGTAGTTACTATGGGAGCAGTGACTCACGCCTGTAATCCCAGCACTTTGGGAGGTCAAGGTGGGTGGATCACCTGAGGTCAGGAGTTCAAGACCAGCCTGGCCAACATGGTGAAACCACATCTCTACTGAAAATACAAAAATGGGCCCGGTGTGGTGGTGAGCACCTGTAATTCCAACTATTCAGGAGGCTGAGGCAGGAGAAGCACTTGAACCCGGAGGCAGAGGTTGCAGTGAGCCGAGCCCACACCATTGCACTCTAGCCTGGGCAACAAGAGTGAAACTCCATCTCAGAAAAAGAAGAAAAAAAAAAACAAACAGTTACCAGCCTGTGATATAGGCAATACACTCATGTGACTATCAACATGGAAAAAGGAACAGAGACTCCACGGGAAACAAAGAGCCATGCCCACATTACGGGAATCACAACAGCTTGTGGGGTTGCAAACAACAAATCAATCAACTAATCAAGAATTTATTGACAGCTTCTATGCACTCAGCTGTCATGTGTTAGCAAACGTGTATCCTGTGGAGAGGGGACTCTTAGTGGCAGCCAAGCCTTGCCTCACGTATGGCATGAATCAAAGTACAGGACCCCCTCACTCTAAGCAAAGTCAATAGATATATTTTTAAACTAACTGAAATCACAAAGAAGCCAATTTTCTGAAGCCTTGACTTGATTAAAAAAAAAACAAAAACAGATTTTAAGATAAAAATATCAAAATGAAGAAAAACACAGAGACTGCTACAAAGGAAAGATGTTCAACAAATATTTGCTACATGAATTAATAAATGAATAACATGTTGAGTGGGATCACCTACTGGCAGAGGATGGTGCTGCAGCCCAGCTATATTAGACATTGTGAGAAACATGTGCAGGATGAAGAGGGAACCAGGCATCTCACCCAGATCTTTTCCCTTAACTTGTTTGAGCCACTGCAAGTTATTTTCCCTTTTGGAGTCTTAAGTTTCCTCATTACTAAAGTGGAGAAGATAATCTCATATTTTTTCTAGGCTGGGCACAGTGGCTCATGCCTATAATCCCAGCACTTTGGGAGGCTGAGGCAGGCAGATCACTTGAGGTCAAGGGTTCAAGACCAGTCTGGTCCAACATGATGAAACCCCGTCTCTACTAAAAATACCAACAACAACAACAACAAAACAACAAAATATATATATATATATACGGGTGTGGTGATGGGCACCTGTAATCCCCAGCTACTCAAGAGGCTGAGGCAGGAGAATAATTTGAACCTGGGAGGCAGGGGTTCCAGTGAGCCAAGATCGTGCCACTACACTCCAGCCTGTGTGACAGAGTGAAACTCCATCTCAGGAAAAAAAAAAAAAAAAATTCTAGTTCAAAATAATAGCTCTCATTTTTAATTGCTCTGTATTATGATTCACCCTCATATGTTATATCATGTAATCTCCAAAACAACTCCTTAACTTAGAGTTTTGTTTATTTATAAATGAAGGAATAGAGTAGCAGACAGAAGACGGGACTTCCCCAGGTCATGCAACTAATGAACAACAGAACAGAGTTCAAACCGTCCCCAAAATGCTCATTTAAAAGGTCAGTGGCCTCTGACGAAATAATGAGTCTGGGTATCTGCCACCAATGGTGAAAGTCTAGGGGGAGCTTTGGAATAGATGGATCAGGCTGTCAACACCTAAACCCACCAATCACTCTTAACGTCATCGTAAGAAAGACAACCAAGTGTGATGTACTTCTCCCAGAGGGAAGTATATGGTACCATCCATGGCAGACTTCCAAAAACCAGAGAGAGAGAGAGAGAGAGAGAGAGAGAGAGAAGAATCTGAATCTTATCAGGTCCTCTTGACCCCACTTTCAATTTATCAAAAATGTGGGGAATAGAGGAGCATGTTAGACAATTCCATGGCAAAACAACCAGGAAAATCAGAATGTGGGACTTCTACAGGATAAACGACCCAGTTCCTTCAACATTTCCGTGTCAAGGAAGAAAAGAAGAAAAGGAGGTGGAGCTATAGATAAAAAGGGACTTGAAGGATGCATCAACAAAGCACTATGCAGGGACTTTGGTTGGTTGTTGATTTAAACAAACCAAACTCATTCATCTATAAAGAATAAGAGTCGCCGGGCGCGGTGGCTCAAGCCTGTAATCCCAGAACTTTGGGAGGCCGAGACGGGCGGATCACGAGGTCAGGAGATCGAGACCATCCTGGCTAACACGGTGAAACCCCATCTCTACTAAAAAATACAAAAAACTAGCCGGGCGAGGTGGCGGGCGCCTGTAGTCCCAACTACTCGGGAGGCTGAGGCAGGAGAATGGTGTAAACCCAGGAGGCGGAGCTTGCAGTGAGCTGAGATCCGGCCACTGCACTCCAGCCTGGGCGACAGAGCAAGACTCCGTCTCAAAAAAAAAAAAAAAGAATAAGAGTCAACCAAAGAAAATTTAACAGTGACTGGATATTAGATGGCTTTAAGGAATTACTAGAGTTTTTAAAAGATTTCATAATGATATCATGGTTAAGTTTTTTTAATATCCTCTGTTTTTTTTTTTTTTTTTTCTTTTTTAGATGGAGTCTTGCTCTGTCACCAGACTGGAGTTCAGTGGTACGATCTCAGCTCACTGCAGCCTCTGCCTCCCGGGTTCAAGTGATTCTCCTGCCTCAGCCTCCTGAGTAGCTGGGATTACAGACATGCGCCCCACACCCGGCTAATTTTTGTATTTTTAGTAGAGACGGGGTTTCACCATGTTGGTCAGGCTGGTCTCGAACTCTTGACTTCGTGATCTGCCCGCCTCGGTCTCCCAAAGTGCCGGGATATCCTCATATTTTAGAGATACAAATTTTAGTATTTACAGATGAAATGATATGGTGTCTGGCATTTGGTTTAACCAGGCAGGACAAGGAAGGGAAATGGATGGGTTGGGAGATGAAGCAAGACCAGCCGCGGGTTGATGGTGGCCGGCACGGGGTGATGGATACTTGTGAGTTCATTATTCTTCCTGTTGACTTTTGTGTATGTTTGAAAGTTCCCACAAGAAACGTTGCCTAAAGGTCAGTGAGTTTTCCCACAAGGCAAGGAAGCTAACTTATAAGGGTAATTTACGGAGTGCTGTAAATAGGAGGGGAAACTTGCAATGTGAGGAGGAGGGCAAAAAAAAACCTTGCAATGTGAGGAGGGGGGATTAGACCAAGGCTGGTCTAATCATGCTGTATAAAATCTCCAGGTCTAATCATGCTGTATAAAAAGCAAGGAGTTGGCCCGGCATGATGGCTCATGCCTATAATTCCAGCACTTTGGGAAGCCGAGACAGTCTGAGGATTGCTTAAGCCCAGGAGTTTAGGACCAGCCTGGCCAACATGGCGAAACTCTGTCTCTACAAAAAATACAAAAATGAGGTGTGGTGGCGCGCCTTAGTCCCAACTACTTGGAAGGCTGAAGTGGGAGGATCACCTGAGCCCGGGAAGTTGAGGCTGCAGTGAGCCATAATTACGCTACTGCACTCCAGCCTGGTGACAAAGCGAGACCTTATCTCTCTCTCTCTCGCTCTCTTTCTCTCTCTCTCACACACACACACATGTGAGGACTGTGAAGTGGACCGGCTCACTCCTGCTGAGGATAGCCCTGCTCCCCACCAGCCAGCCATGGCATGCGTCACCCCTTCCAGCCCTGTCCCCTCCATCTTCACATGCACAGTGGTGGGGAATAAGGCTGCAGGATTGCCTTTGCAGAGCTTCGCTTGAGTCCCAGCTTTCCTGAAACACAGCAGCCCTGCAAAGCGGGTGGGTGAGCCGGAAGAGACTAGTCCCAGGGGACAGGCGCGCAGGGCCGACTTACGATGGTGTCGCACCAGAACTCGGCCACCTCGTGCACCCTCATGGAGGTGAGCAGGATCTCCCAGACCTCAAGCTTGAACATGTTCCCGATGATGATGTGCATGGGCTGGTCCACCTGCCGGCTGTCGTCGATGACCGTGCGCTCCTCATCACATTTCATGGTGCGGAAATGAAAGATCACCTGGTCACCGAGACAGTGCACTCTGCTCTAGACACACCGCTCAAGGCCCGGCAGAAGCCACCCCCTTGCCACTGACACTCAGGGCTGTCCCCAGGGTCAGCTCACTCAGTTCACCCCATCAGATGCCTCAGACCCCCTGAGCACCTCCACCCTGCCTGCACCCCCCAGGGAGGAGGGACCCACCCCCTCCCTACGAACCCCATTTCACTCCCCACAGTCCTGTGTGTCCGGAAATCCTTCCTCAAATAAGCCCCGAGTTTTTTTGTTGTTTTTGTTTGTTTGTTTTTTGAGACAGAGTCTCACTCTGTTGCCCAGGCCGGAGTGCAGTGGTGTGATCTCGGCTCACTGCAAGCTCCGCCTCCCGGGTTCAAGTGATTCTCCTGCCTCAGTCTCTTGAGTAGCTGAGCTGGGATTACAAGTGCCCAGCACATCCGGCTAATTTTTGTATTTTAGTAGAGACGGAGTTTCACCTGTTGGTCAGTCTGGTCTCAAACTCCTGACCTCGTGATCTGCCCATCTTGGCTTCCCAAAGTGCTGGGATTACAGGCGTGAGCCACCTCGCCTGGCCAAAGCCAGAGTTCTGTAGCCACAGACGCACCCTTCAGTCCAGGGAAGCCCAACAGACATTTGGGGACAAATACCAAGACCTCTGGGACCCCCTTTCTTCTCAACATTTAGGGCTCCAGAAAATTCCCAAAAGCCCTGCCCCTCAGCCCATGCTAAAGTTGAATCTGCAAAGTACCAAAAATGCCCCGTGACTGGGTAGACGCTGGGAGCTCCCCGGAGGCCCAGGGCTGGGGATGCCTGGCTGTTTTTTGGCAAAGCTGAAAGCTGTTTACAGTGCCTTGGGGCACACCTGGAATGTGGAAGGCGGCTGTAGGGGACCCTGTCCGCTCCGGAGGGGCCCCACTCACTCGGGATCCAGTGATGAAGTTTGGGAGCTCGCCCGTGCCTCCGTGCAGAATGGTTTTCTTGACCCCTTCCACGTTCAGGAGCAGAGCGGCATCCATGGCTGCAGGAGGAAAGGCGGTGTCTGGCACAGGCGGGGATAATCTCACCTCCGGGAAGACACTTAGGCGGCTGAGACTCTGGGATTTGCCCAGCCAGGAGGAGTGTGGGGGAAGGGCAGATGGTGGGGGCGGTGCCCCAGGCGCCCCAGTTTCTCATCAGAGCCACTCGGGCCAGGCCTGTGGTCCGCAGACAGCCTCGCCTATCCCATCCACCGCTCCTTCCAGTGATTCTGGGCCCCTGCCCTCTACATGCCAGGGTTGTGCTAGGCTTGGATTTTCTTCTACCCCAAGAAGGAAAAAGGTCCACTGAGCTTTCTTAAAGAAGACAGGGGGCCGGTCGTGGTGGCGCACGCCTGTAATCCCAGCACTTTGGGAGGCTGAGCGGGCGGATCACGAGGTCAAGAGATCGAGACCATCCTGGCCAATGTCATGAAACCTCGTCTCTACGAAAAATACAAAAATTAGCCAGGCGTGGTGGCGGGCGCCTATAGTTCCAGCTACTCGGGAGGCTGAAGCAGGAGAATCACTTGAACCCGGGAGGCGGAGGTTTCAGTGAGCCAAGATTGCACCATTGCACTCCAGCCTGGAGATGTGGAGAGAGGCCTGGAGGCCACAGACTCTAAGCCCCCAAGGACTCCAGGCCAGCCGGGGTGGCAGCTGCCCTTTGCCTTCCAGCCACCTTCCTACTTTCACTGTTCCCCGTCCCTTCTCCAGGATCTGCCTTCAGGAGGCCCTGCGATGGTGGCCCAAGGGAAGAGGGGACAGGCTTCTGGCTTGGGAAGGAAGGAAGACAGACAACGAAAGGCATGGTGGGTTTGGGCAAAGTTGAGGCACCCTCCCCAGCCCCGCTCCTGCCTCCCCTGCAAGGTCTGGCTGCGGGCAGGGTGGGTATCCCGTCCCCTTTGAGGGCCTTAGCCCTGTGCTCTGGGAAGCAGGCAGAGTTTTTTCAGGACCTCAGGGACGCCCTTCCCGGCTGGGAAACACAAATGCGAAGACCTGGTGTTTGGCACCACCGCGTGGCCAGTTCAAGCTCCTACACCTCCGCACCCTGAGGGCACTGGACTCACCGCCACAAAACCGTTCTCTTCCTGACACCAGGCTCATTGGTTGCAGAGGGAAGAGGTGTGGGACTCTGCTACAGGGAGAGATGAAAACACTGGACTAAGGAGGCTGAGGTAGGTGGATCACCTGAGGTCAGGAGCTCGAGACCAGCCTGGTCAACGTGCTGAAACCCCGTCTCTACTAAAAATACAAAAATTACCTGGGCGTGGTGGTGCGCGCCTGTAATCCCAGCTACTCAGGAGGCTGAGGCAGAAGAATCACTTGAATCCAGGAGGCGGAGGTTGCAGTGAGCCGAGATCACACCACTGCACTCCAGCCTGGGTGACAGAGTGAGATTCCATCTCAAAAAAAAAAAAAAAAACTAGACTAGGCCGGGTGCGGTGGCTCATGTCTGTAATCCCAGGACTTTGGGAGCTAAGGCAGGTTGATCACCTGAGGTCAGGAGTAGTTAGAGACCAGCCTGGCCAACATAATGAATCACCATCTCTGCTCAAATTATAAAACTTAGCTGGGCATGGTGGCAGGCACCTGTAATCCCAGCTACTCAGGAGGCTGAGGCAGGAGAATCACTTGAACTCAGGAGATAAAGTTTGCTGTGCACTGAGATCGTGCGGCTGCACTCCAGCCTGGGCCATAGAGTGAGACTGTGTATGAAAAGGAAAGGAAAGGAAAGGAAAGGAGAGAAGAGGAGAGGGGAGGGGAGGGGAGGGGGAAACACTGGGCTAAGCCAGATACAGCTGAGTTCAAAGGGCTGACCCTTTCCTATATACTGACCTTATGGCCTTGGATGTCTCTCGTTCTCTCTCACTGTATTTTCCCAACTGAAATGGGAAGACTGACCTCTCCTTCCTCCCTCTCAGGGGAAGTTGGGAGGGCTGCAGCAGTGAATGGCACCCTGAAATCTAGCACCCCTGAAAGTCTTCCATCCCTGGAAGGTGGAAGGCCGCAGTAAACCTTGCCCTGCTGCCTTCCATCCTTTCTCCAGCCACACGGCAGCCTAGAGAGGTCCGCACGCATAGGTAAAATGGATACTTAGTAAAACTAATACAGGAGTTCTTAAGAAATAATTTTTAGGCAGATAGAAAGGGTAAAGGTTCTCGGTGGAAATTTTCCTGCAATAAAAAACAACCCCCGAAACCATCTTTTTTCTAACAGAAAAGGCCGCTTAAAGGGCCAGGCTGGCAAGCCTCAATATGCAAATGCCGGCAATTAGAAACTGGGTTCGCTCATATGGCGATTCCTGCTGTCTTTTCCCTGTCACCAGGTGTACGGAGTGTCATGGTCACCTCCAGATAACAGCATGTGTTCAGAACATCATGGTGACCCGCATTTGCATATTAGAGGGCTAAGGTGGGAGGGCAGGGTTTTTGCGGGCTATGTAAATTACACCTGGTCAAACCAATCCCCTGGGCCCTATGGAAATCAGACACCACCTCCTCAGCCTCTTCACGTAAGCAGCCACTTCCCACCACTCCACCCTGAGCAGGGGGTTTTCTCTTTGTTCAAATCTCCCCCTTCCCTCTCTCTCTGTATGGGGGAGCTATTCTCTTCTTCCTTCCTTCTTTCTTGCCTATTAAACTTTTTGCCCCTTAAAACCACTCCATGTGTGTCCGTGTCGTTAATCCTATTGGCGCAAGACCAAGAACCCTGGAGTTCCTCCAGTCATCAGAGCTGTATCAAAACTGCAAAGGAAAATAAAAGTGTTTATCGTAAAAGTCTAAGGAGGTGGGAGAACACACTCATCCCTCGCAGGTGGCAAGTGTCTGCTTCTGGGATGCTGGCAATGCTCACCCTTGACCTAGGTGATGCTTACACGGGTGTTGGCTTTATAAGTACAGTAAGTCCTCACTTAATGTCCTTTTAGGTTCTTGGAAACTGCAGTCTGAAATGAAAGGACATACATCAGGTCCTCAAATAACATCCTTTCAATCAATGTCATCATTTTGTTATAATGTTGATGAGAAAAAAAGGTGGTTTCCTTATATGTCATTTCACTGAAAGTCAGTTTTTTTTTGTTTTTGTTTTTGTTTTCTTGAGATGGAATTTTGCTCTTGTTGCCCAGGCTGGAGTGCAATGGAGTGATCTTGACTCACTGCAACCTCTGCCTCCTGGGGTCAAGTGATTCTCCTGCCTCTCAGCTCCGAGTAGCTGGGATTACAGGTGCCACCTCGCCAAGCTTTTTTTTTTTTTTTTTTTTTTTTTTTTAGTGGATACAGGGTTTCATCACGTTGGCCAGGCTGGTCTCGAACTCCTGACCTCAGGTGATCCACCCGCCTTGGCCTCCCAAAGTGCTGGGATTACAGGTGTGAGCTGCCGCACCCAGGCTAAAGTCAGTTTTCAAACACCTATTGACAGCATTAAGTAAGGACTCACTGTATTCATGACACTAGATTTTATGTCTTAGGCAGTTTTCTGTCGGTGATATAATTCACAATGAAAAAGATCCAATTATGTCTCTTCTCACACTTCTTAAAACTCTCCCACTGTTTCCATTGCTTCCCTTTGTAGAGGGTCAAAGGGCACACACATATTGCAGAGACGTTTAAACAGTAAAACTGATAGATGTAGCCTGTGGTTGATTGGGGGAGGTGGGGGCAAGAAGGAAAGGGGATGTTGAAGCTGATGCCAGGGGTGTTGGTTTCCCTGCTGAGAAGAATGATGATCGCTCCTGGTCTGTGCCTGGGCTTGGGCCACAGGCTACAGACTGATGCCCCAGAAACCCTTTGCCTGCTGTCTTAGTTCATTCTCTGTGATTGTAACTGAACACCATGGAATGCATAATTTTTTTTTTTTTTTTTTTGAAGACATTTGTTTAGCTCATAGTTGTGGAGGCTGGGAAATCCAAGAGCATGGTGTTGGCATCTGGTGAGGGCCTTCTTGCTACATCATAACATGGTGGAAGGCATCACATGGTGAGAGGACAAGAGCATGCACATCAGCTCAGGTCTCCGTTCCTCTTCTTGTAAAGCCTCCAATCCTATCACAGGGTCCTACCCTGATGATGTTATCTAATCCTAATTACCCTCCAAAGGCCCCACCCATAAATATCATCAACATATGAATTTCAGGATTCAGTTTCCAACAAATGAAATTTGGGGGACACATTAAAACTATTGCCGCTCCCAAACCAGTCTCCTTATGGACTTCATTAAAATGCCACTCTAATAACCTACTGCCCTCTTAACATTCAGCAAAGAGGTGCCACCACCTTCAGTACAAATTTTAAGCTCCTTCTCTGGCCTACAGACCCTGTCTCTTGCCACCCCATCCCCTACCCTCAGCTCCTGATCTCAGCCCTACCCTTTTTGCCCAGGCTTTCCCCAGTCCTAACACTTGGCAATGCTCCAGACTCCCAACCATTGGCCCACTAGCTCCTCACTTCAAACACCACACATTCAGGGAAGACTACCCTGACCTCCAGCTCCAGTCAATCTCCCCATCCCCCTTATACCCCCTGTCACTTCTCCCTAGCACTGCACATTCATGCTACTTTGCCTAATTGTAATTGTTTACAATTATGTGTTTAATGTCTATGTCTTCCAGCAGATTGACAGTTTCAGGAGGTCAAGGAAACTAGTGGAATGTCTGCTCTTGGACAAAGAGCCCCTGGATAGCAGGGCTGGAGTTTCTCCTTTATCCCCCTCCCCAACAGAGGCAAGGGTGATGCTGGATTCCCTCCCCCTCCAAAAGCCTCCGCTAGGAACAAGTGACTGGTTTCTCCTCCTTACCAAGAATAGAAGCCCCTATACTGACCTCTGGACTAGGAGCCTGCTTCCCCTGAGTACAGCCTCCTTCCCTCCCTCCAGCCACCACTCCATGCAAGGCAAAAGGGAAAGGCTTCTCATTCAGAAGAAAATGTTTCTTCCTCCTTTACTTGTTGCCATGGAGACTGTTCTTCATTAACCTGACCTGCCAGTTACCATTCTGAGAGAGGGAAGAGGATGGAAAGCTCCAAGCAGGGAGGGCCTCTTTATGCACGCATGCATTCATTGTGTCACCCCTGATACTTAACAAAGCTGTGTAATCTGAGGGTAAGAATTCAGGCTTTGAAGTCAGTCACTGGATTTAAGCTCCAGTTCTGACATTCCACACGATCTTGGACCAGATATTTCACCTGTCTGCATCTCACTTTTGTCATCTGTAATGAAAATAAAAATAGTACCTACTTCATAGAATTGCTTGAGGATTAAGAAAGAATAAAGAAAGTAAATGCACTTAGCAGAGCGTCTGACACATGGTGAGGGCTCAAAAAATATAAGCTATTATTACAGATGCCTGTGACATGGCAGGCACTGGGGAGGCAAATTGTGAT